TCATGATGACAGGCAACGACAGCAAGCCCTTCGAGTAGACACGCAGCCTACTGAACAAGCGGCCCCACAGCGGCATACAGAACGCGCACACCACCAGATCGAATCAGCCCTACATGCAAGAGTGCAAGGTCTACATGCTTTGGTACAGGAAATCGAACAAACTGTAGACTATATGCCTCAAGATGTACAGGGTGCTCTCCTCACTCCCCTGGCTGACCTACACTCCCAACTTTGTGGCCTGGTGTACGTAGCCTGGTTGCTCTCCCTTCTGCATCCGCACGCAGATGATCATGACCAGTAGTTACAAGTTCGTAGAGACACGCCTCTGCTGCAACATGATGTCCCCCCTTTTTTGTTTATTTGTTTGTTCGGTTCTTATGGTACAGTTTGGACAGGTGCCCCCCATGAAAAGCTAGATGCAGTTGATCCTCTGCAGATGCACTTTGCTGTAATGTTTGGCTCGCAGCAGGTCGTAGCGCCCAGCACACATGTGTGAGGTCAGCCTTAGCTGACATCACCATTGTTGCCTTTCGTTTGCTTGTGGCGCTCAGGGCAACTGCCAGCCTTAGCTGGCGGGGGCTGCACTCGTATCTTAGAGCAGAGCAACAATAATGTCACATGACCCGTGGATGGAGGACAGTACTTCACTGGACCTAACGGATGGGTTGGAGGACAGAGTCCACGTGCCTTTTGTATACACACGTGATCATGCGGAGTGGCTGACAGCAGATGGCCAGGCCAGCTTTGCCAGGGGTACGGAGGCTAGTGTGGAGCAGTCCCATATGCAGCGATGGCTATGAAAGACACTCTCAGCAGTCCTTTCGGCCTTGATTCCGCCTGCCCTACTCTTGGTTTGTCTGATGTTCGAGCTCAGCCACCCAAAAAGGATGATGGGTATCCCACTCTTGAAACAGAGGGAGATCTGCCCGATCCTACTGCCATTATTCGAACATTAATGTCACACCGTGACTTGATCATGAACAATCAAATGATCTACTTAATAGTGGACAATCGCACGCCGGCAGATGTCCCGCATTGGCCGGCTTTTGCAACATGGTGGGCCTCACGTAGGAGTCTAGTAGGTCCCCAGGAAGAAACAACTGACATACTTTGGGTGTCTGGATAATTTGTTTAGAAAATCAAGCCTTTTGTTGTTGGCCTTTGTGTTTGCTTGGTGTTTGTCAGTCCACGAGGCTTGGAGATGGCTGCGGAAGCATTTGCCAGCGTCGGGAAATGTCTTGAGCAGGCTGGACGCCACTGAGGACCACTGGCTCGTGACTGTGTGCGATTAATGAACTTTTCAAGTTGTTCTTTTTGTTCCATACTTGTTTCTAAGCAATTCATTCATCTCCAATGTGCTTTGGTTGATGAGGCATTTGTCAGTATGGCTGCGTCGGGCCCTTGGGGACGAATCATTGCGTCGGACACTACTCAGCAGCTGCTCCGTTCCCTGGCTTCAAACCAAGGAATTTTGATTTGTGGTTGTGATTTTTGACATGTAATTAATAGATCTATACTAGTGATGAAACATAGACAAGCAGGCTACAATATTGGCCTTTTGCAATTTGGAGCCCTTTTTGCATGGCTGGACCAAGGTGAATGTGGACCACAACCGCAATGGACCAAGAACTTCAGGAACTCGTTCCATACGCTCTTGAGGAACAAGAGCATGCGGGCAATGCATCCTCGGAGAAACTCAGTTTGCATTACTTTGTAAGCACCTGTTCTATAGTTATGTGTTTCAGATGATTATGACCTTGATTTTGTGATTCAGTAGCAAAGTAAAATATATTTGTAGTAGTTCAGTAAGCCAACGAGATGCTTGCACTGCTCAGGCGATGACGAGGAGTACATGTCGTACAAGATTGCCCGACACAGGCGGCTGGACGACCTTGGGGTGCCGGAGCACAATCGGAGACGCCGGAGAGGTCAGTTGGAGTACCTTCCGCAGGACATGGATGCCGGGCTCCGATTGTATCATGAGGAGTTCTCGCCGGACGAGCAGCGTGAGTGGGACCGAGTTGAGGCGGACCGACAGTCATAGCGCGAATGGCTGGACAGCGATGATGAGGAGGACAACAGGCAGGACGACGATGGACAGCAGGAGGCCGGACAGGACGCCAGACAGGAGGCCGGACAGGAGGTCGGACAGGACGAGGAAAGGTCGAGGAAGCGGAGTCGGAGTCGGGAGCCGGACAAGTTGGACGAGAATAGACCGCCAGTCACCCTGAGGCCGCAAGGGTCAGGACTTAGGCTGCAGGAGGAAGCCCTTAATGCCAATCGTCGGACAGGAAAATCTAGTTGGGCGGACATTCAAGAGGAGGAGGAGAGGCGCCAACGCCAGGAGGAGGAGAAGGAGCTTGTAGATGAGGTGGCGGAAGAAGTGGACCCTAAGGAAGAACAGCTGGACAGTGGTGTTGAGCCTGAGGCAGATGAACCTGACCTGAGAGCACTTGCTCAAGACGCGGTCGATTATGGCGATGACGAGCTGGACGACCAGAATCTCTCCCAAATGGCAATGGACTTACCTGAGGAGGTTCCTGAGATTGAGACTCAGCAGATGGACGCAATGGACATGGACACTGCTGGCAGTGCCGCTTCAACTGCGGGGGGGCTGCCCGCAAGTCGGACACAGGAGTCCCAGGAGGACGAGGAGGGGGAGGAGGAGAAGACGGAGAAGAAGAAGAAGAAGAAGGGCAATCAGCAGACTCGGGCTAAGAAGAGTGAACAGTTGGACAAAGCAATGGAGCTGATGAAGCTTAAGATTGAGCATTTGAAGCTTCAGCAGGCATTGCAGGAAGCTCAACGAGGCAGGAAGCTGGACGCATCACTCACTACTGAAAGAGTGATGACTAGTACTATTGTTCTTTTGAAATTGAGTGCAAAATAATGTGTTAAAGAAGGGTCATGTTCCGAGGCCTGGCTTCTTGTAGATTGAACTCAATTTGGACCAGTATGTTCTTTTCAAAACTCGAAATACTTTCATTTTTGGCATTTCATCGTTCAAGTTTTGCAGACACCCGCAGAGCTGGACCTGCCAGAGCTGGACCTGCCAGAGCTCAACCTGCCGGAGCTGGACCCAGCCATGCAAAGTCGGACCGAAAGTTGGACACAAGGTCGGACACACCTCTTGAAGAGCATCATGTGGACGATGAAAGGGTTTTTTGGCATGTAAAGGCCAGTATTTTTTCCTATTCTTGATGAGAGAGGTCGTTCTTTTATGTTCACAATTCTTTCGCTTGTTGCAATCCATTGCAAGCCTGGAGGCTCCATTGGCCAGACGTCCCGGACAAAGATGGGACTACAACTACAGCTACAGCACTAGCCATCGAGCGCCACAGTGATTTAGTGCGCTGCTGTGGTCAAAGTACCAGCTGCTGGACAGACGAAAAAAGGCCTGGCCTTGCTTCAGACTTTACCATTTTAGCACAGGCTAGCTGATTAAAGAATTGACAGACAATTGTTCAACCCCCAATAGTTTGTCATTGTTGATCGAACTTGTGTGTACTAACTGTCATGTTTTCGCATGTCAGTGCAGCATGTTGCTTTGATTGACTTCCTTAGCTTTGGACATGCACAAGTGAACTACCATTGGAGTAGTTTTGTGTGAGCAGCATGGATGCCAGGTGCACTTCAGACAGTTGCAGATGACAGAGGTGCAATGCGTGGATTTGGGATGGCCTTTGAAGTACTGGAAGGGGATCAACCCAAAGCGATAGAAGAGACATTGGCCAAGTGGCCATATTGTAAGCTATTGTTGAGATGTTAGTTGTGAAGAGACTTTGTGCTGCCAGGCTTGTGCCATCATTGTTTCTGACAGAGAAACTATATATATATATATATGTGACTTTTCCATTTCCCTACTGTTGGCAATAGCCTACAATCCATCGAGTGCAATGAAGGGATGATGTTTCTGTATTCTGGTTGCATTTCATTGCTCATATAGGTTTGCAGAAACAATTCACCACATGGGCTGGACACAGTGTATACCATTGATTGACCGACTGGCTGAGGGTTGGATTGGATTGGGCATCTACTTCCAGCAGGTTCCAGCCTGGCATAGTCATGTTGCGCAAAGAACCAAATTGTTTTTAAATTTGGAACCATGAAACCAGTCACAGTCCAGCCAGCTTTTGCGTCTCAATTGACATCTTTGAAATGTGGATGATAACTAGTTTGCAAATTCTTTTGCCAGACAAACTCCACACACTTATGCATGTATTTCCTCGACCAAACCTTGGGTAGAAGAAATAGATCAGCCAAGATAACTGTTGTTTTTGTTCGCACAAGATCATTGTTCATTTGCTGCATGGCAACAATAAAGAATGTAGAGTCTAGTCGGACTCCAGTGACTGGTCTCCACGCTGCTCCAATGCAGGAATAAGAGGTGATAACTGTCTTTTTGTGTGCTCCTATTGCATGGCTAACAACCTGTGTAGTTGTGCTCATTAAGTTCCACTGTGTGCTTGTCATTCCGTTGCTGTCGCTGAGTCGCAGCTGATTGTCAACTATTAATGCGTCATAATTAAGTTTAAAGCTGTAGCAGTTGCCTAACCAGTGCCCATTTCCTAATTGACCAGAGGAAGTTCAATTGTGCAGCAGGAGTGGGGACAAGAACTTTGTGTTGCAGCACTGCTTGGTCAGAGTCGGACACTCAATGGGTTTATTTCAATGTCATTTTTCATGTCTGAAGCGTCCAGGCATTAACCATTTTCTTCATTGCCTGATTACATCATTTATTGACTTTTATTGCGCAGTGCTAGCTCCCAACCGTTGATCATAGTACTTGCATTTGATGCAGTTTTTGCTCAACTCAGTTCATCATATAAGAGCCTCACTTGTCCCTGTTGTTCCATTGGACTTTTGCCATGGCACGGAAGTCTGGGGGACTTCGGACGCCATCCAAGAAGGCCTTGGAACGGCGGGCAATCAAGGCGGAGAAGAGGTCGGTCAAGAATGAGCAGAGGTTCGCCTCTGCTGTTCAGTCCAGCAAGGCCTCACTCGTTGAGTCGGACCATCAATTTGTGCTGAGCACTTTGGAGGACAATCCGAAATGGATACAACCATTAGCCGGACTGATCAGATCAGGGTGCCTCAATGGGATTCTGAAGGAGCACACCTTTGAAGGCCCAGAATTGGTCGGACCTCGATGGAAAGGCCGTGCGCGCAAATGGCTGGACATCCCCGTGGACATGCAGCTCACCATGATCGAAGCCACAGGAGTCAAAAAGCCGGACAAGTCTTCCGATCAGCCGGAGTTTGTTCAACGGTGCTTCATGAGTCAGTTTTGGGTTGGACAAAAAGCCCCTATTCCACAAAGGTCGGACATCCGGTTTGTCTCCACCTTGGAGAAGCTGGCCAAGACACGGGTCAAAGAGCTCAATTTGAGCTACCTGGACAAGTTCAAGGGTGCAATGGACAACATGCTGAAGGACCCAAGTGAATTGGCAGTGTGGGAATTGGAGGACAATAGGCTGATCCTACGTGGACTGTCACAAAAGCAGGAGGACTACAAGGAGCATGAACTAGCAGCTGCTCCTAAGGGACAATCATGGCAGCTGTCGGACCCATTTTCGCCGGACTGTCATTTGACAACGGACAAGAAGTCAAGCATGTGGGACTTCCTTGCGCTGGACTTATTGAATGAGGACCAAGACCAGGACGAGTACATAGTGGACCCTAATGGAAAGTGGAGCGAGGATGGACAGGACATTGACGACACCAGGTCGGAATTTACAGTTCTGACGAGCACAGGAGCGCACTCAGGCTCAGAGTGGACGCCAGCGAAAAGGGCTAGGCCCGAGACGCCGCTGCAAGTGAAGAAGATGGAAGGAGAGGGGAAAGACTGAAGGACTGATAGACGTTGAGTTGCAGGACCTAATATAGTGTTAGTATCTGAGGTCTGGAAAGCCTGTCTCAGAAAATGCTCTTTGTCCAGGACTTTTCCAGCCATAGTCGGACTTCTATTGTCAACGCTAGCAAAGAAACACCATCTTTTCACTGGTCTATTTATTCACACGTTTGCTGATGTTGATGTTGGTTGGCTGGAAAAGGAGCTGGCCCCACTAATTCTGTGGGGACTTCATCACCAAAGCAAACCCATGAAAACTATGTGCAATGTGCCCAGTGCATGATTTTCAGCTTTCAGTTGACAATTTAGATGCCTCGACATAATTTAGATGCCTCGACATAATATTGTCTCTTGAGCTGCAACCCAGAAGAGACCCCAATGACTACAGTTTAAAGCACTCGCTGAACATTTGTGAATTCATGGATCAAATGAGATTGGCTGCGCAGCAGTGGGCCTGTTCAAGTGATGCAGTCAGAAAGGTCTCCAGCAGTATGTCAAAAGATGTGTTGCAATTGCAATGTATCATTTTTGCAATGTTTGGACAACCCTGCAAACAATCAATTGTCCATTAGATAAGAACAACACTAACACATCTCTCAGACTAATGCGCAGAGAACCATCCAAGCATGATTTGTTAAGCTGATATTGATGTGACGCTCATTTAGTGGGAGTTCATTGTTGGGCACTAGTGAGCTCATGGAAGCTGCGCCAACAGTCTTTGAACTCTCCCCTTCGGACATACAAAAGTACCTGGAGGTCTCTGATACTGGCACTTGGTCAGATGAAGATGTTGGACAAGTAGTGTCCAACAAATCTGAGCATTTAGATTGCAATGGCATTGTTTCCAATTTGGAGATGAGCTTTGTTGAGCATTTTTGAATTTGAAGCTGCTTGTGTTTTTTAGTCTAGCTAAGCTCAATCAGTTTGGTCTTGCGTGACCCAGGGGTCTTCGTTATTTGGCACTTTTGTCGGACAATATGGCTCCTGTTCCGGAACTCCACAGGACGCACCCTGACCTATTGCAGATGAGCAACTTTTCAATACTTAATTTGACAATTGAGTGTTTGCAGCTGCAGCAGCCATCTTTGTAAATATGGTTCCAGGTACTTTCAGAAGGGCAGCTTTATTGTGCAGAGGGACCATTGCCAGGACCATCCTTTTCTGAAGCTCCTTGGGCTTGCAAAGTTCTGGCTGTGTTTGATGTTTGAATTGTGAATAATGTTTGTTGTCCAGGTCAAAGAACTTCATTAGTTGTTTGACCATTGTACCATGTGGGTTTGCAGCATGTATTTCATTTGACTTTGGCAGAACTAGTGAATATGATACAGAACAGTTAACCCAAAGCATGCCATCTACTCAGGACTGCCTGGGAGCTTTTGAGGCTCAGGGTAGAGCAGAAGATTTTTCAGGCAGAGGTGAATTGCCGGACAATCCTGAGGCAGGCTGCTGAAATTGAAGCAGGACATGCGTTGGACCCCTGGACCACTCCAATGGACCGGCCGCCTGGTTCCATGGTTCTGGATCTTGTCCAGAAAATATATGAGTTGGACCACTTGGACACAGTCGGAGTCTTCTATAAGGGCCGGTCCTTTGTGGCGCATTTCACCTTGAATTCCACATTTACGTTGGACACCCGCCTCTTTGATGACAGTCTTGCAGATCTTGCAGTAAAATGTTTTTGGTACAATCAAAGTTATTTTTGTTTTGTTGATGTGCGCTATTCACTAGGGCTCCAGGGAT